CGGTGCCCAGAAAACCTTCTGCTGATGGGGGAGGAGACTGGCATCTCGCTTTCTGATCTGGGATGGAGGAGCTTTCAGCTTTTTGTGGCTCAGGAGAAAGTACAGGCCAGAAGTGCTTGCATTTTTCTGGACTCCTGTGTTTTGTGAACAGGAAGAGAATAAAAGCTTATTCTGCTTTTATTAACCAGGTATTGACATTTTAGCAGCCAGCGTAGCTTCAGAAAGAATCCAGTCAATGTGTTGTATCTGTGTTCTGCGCATCTCTACGCAGTGTTTCCTAAATGTGCACTGCTTTTACAGGAGGACTTGGTAGCATTATGTTTGTGGCATTATATTTTCCTGCGCACAGGCTGTCTCCCATTCCTTTAATTTTCTGATGGTTCTGTTTCTTCTTTTTAGGTAAACTAAAGCCAACTATGGCCTTCATGTCAGGAAAATTAAGGATTAAAGGAAATATGGCACTAGCAATGAAGCTCGAGAAGTTGCTTACACAACTTAACTCTAAACTGTAAGGGGAAACCCTTGCTAGAAGAGCAGTGGCCTTTCATATATAACTGGAATACTGTTTTGAATTTGTAGTCATCATTTTTCTCTGATGCAATATAAGAAATATGGATAAAATGTGAGGGTTTTGTAGGAGAGGTAACTCCATCTGATTAAGGGAAGAAAGTGTTTGTGATTAAACTAATTGCTTCTCAAGAATACACTTATTAGGTTGCAGATGTTTTCTTCTGCTCCTCTGGATCAATGTAAGTGATCTGAAGTGAGTTTTTTCCTGCATGGTTGCTTGTGCACATTTCCTATGAAAGAGGTGGGGAGAGCAAATGTCACCCTGCAGATCTGTGCTAGAAGTGCTAAGTGGAAACAATATGGTCAGTTTTGCAGTGCCTTAATTATACCTGGTAAATTGGCATCCCAAATTTTTTTTTCTTTCCCAGGTTTTTTTACCTACATGAGTTCTGTTGCACTCGGGCTGCACAGACATACTGAATGATAAGCAAGTTTTCTTTTTGTGTGGAGGTGCATTTGCACACGCTCACACTCGTGTGCTTTCTCTCTTCCCCTATGCCCACTACATCACTGGAGGCAGCCACTTCCCCTTCCTTTATTTGACTGGTAAAGATTGAAGCTCAGTAGGAAAAGCATGAATGTTGCCACAGTGTAAGTTCACAAGTGTACACATGGACTGCAGCTTCACGTGACAGCATCTGAAAAGCCAGATGGACCAACCTCTTAAGCTGTTTATTCATTGTCGCCTGAAGAACTGCCCAGAATTTGGAACATTTTCTCTTCTAAGCAAGCTGAGAAGCTTGCAAGATTTAGGATTTATTTTTTAATCTACTTGGCAGCACAATAGTTTACAAGTTTTTAAAGCATGTGCCTGTCTAAAATTGCTTATGACCTGTATTGTGAAGGTCACATCTGTATTGCTTTCATCACAGTTCAGAGAGTCACAAAATGGGTCAGGTTGGAAGAGACTACTGGTGGAGTCATCTGGTCCAACCTCCCTATTCAAGTAGGGTCATCCCAGAGCACATGCACAGGATTGTGTCCAGATGGTTCTTGGGTATCTCCAGTGAGGGGGAGTCCGCAACCTCTCTGGGCAATCTCTTCTAGTGCATGGTCACCTGCAAAGTAAGGAAGTTCTTCCTCATATTCAAGTGGAACTTCTGTGTATCAGTTTCTGCCTGTTGCCTCTTGTATTGCTTGGCACCACCAAGCAGATCCTGGCTCCATGCTCTTGGCACCCTCCCTTCAGATACTTAGTAAGGCAGTTGAATTCTGGTAATAAAGACAAAAACTGTCAAATTCACCTCTACCTTGCAGTCTCGGGGATCTTGAAAAACAATAACATAGGTTCCTTTCTCACCAGGCACAATGGGCTGGGGCTATTGAGGGAGGGAGGGATGGAGGGGGTGGCTTACAGCACACTTGGCAACATGGTAGCATGGGAGGCAAGGGCTGCCCCAGTCAGAGGGGGCAGCAGTGCCGGGCTGTGTGACTGTTCCCAGTCCAGCGCCCACACCGGGCTGTGCTCAGCAGCACATTCATCCCTGCCAGGCAGCCAGCTCTGCTCAGCTGAGCCACCAGCATGGCCAGCTCCCTTCAATGTCTGTGTGCCTGCTGCCCAGCCCTAACTGCTGCCCCTGCCCTGCTGCCAGTGCTGCCAGACCTGGGGGCTGCCCCCAAAGGTTTCAGTCTCCACTGAGCAATGTCTGCTTCCCACCTCTATCCTGGTGTCTGAGTTGGTCATTTCTCTGTCCTTGACTACCTGGTGATCCCAGAACACAGTTCTGACAGCTGAAGGATAGCAGAAGCACTGGCATACATGAGGACATAAAAGTAAAGGCTGTACATGGAATACGAGGGAAAGATCCAGCACTGGAAATCAGAGTCCTCTGGAGGAGACCAAATATCTGAACTGATGGTGCAGTAATGCACACATAGTGCTGGCTGCTGTCAATATAGTAAAGAAGTGGATATCCTCTGCCTCTCTACAAAGCAGAAACCCACGGTCCTGCAGTGGAGGATCCCCCCACTCCCCAAATTGCCCTTCCCTCTGATGGTACAGCATTCATCCTGGAGCAAAGCTGGCCCCTGACCACCCAGCTACTCACAGGAGAACGTGGTAGGCCCTTCTTTTTCAAGAGCTACTTCTATAACTCTGTGGGGCCAGGTATTTTGCCCATCAGCCTTTTCACTTATGCAAATTCAGGCAACTGCTGCCGTGTTGTGTTTCAGCAAAGCCTCCCTGGCTGCCACAGCAAACCGGTCTCTGCTGGAGCCTCCCTCTGCCAGCTGCTTCTCACTCCCCAGCCTTCACCTGTGGCTGAGCTGGGTTCACCTGAGGAAGGTGATGAGGTGGCAAGGTCCTGGTGAGCACTGTCAGCTGGGCCCTGAGTGTCCTCAAGACAGTGAGGAGATCTTTCAGGCCAGCAATTGGCTCTGAACACACCATGTGTCGTCCAGGTGACAATCCCAACAAACTTGCTGCTATGCTTACAGCCCCCTGTGTCATTTGCCCTGTCCTTCATATTTGAGTGGTGTGTAACATCCATGTTTACATGCTTCCCCTGGCTCAGTTCCATTAACTGTTACAGGAAAACCTTTACTGCCTGTCTCCCACTGTTTAGGACTATGTCTTTGTGGAATAGTAGGTTTTGGCTGTATTTTGGACACAGTTGCTCCCACAGAACCTTAATCTTATCTTGCTATTGAATGAACTGTCTCAGGAGCATACTTATTTTGAGGAAGGAAGCAAGGTAACTTCAGTTACCTAATTTCTTTTCCATCTAAGAGATTTTTTTCCTCACGGTATAAACTTACATGAGCTCGTCTAATTGAAAACATTTCTACGAATTTAAGAAACATTACACCAGCCACAGTGAATGTATAGTACAGGCTTCCAGCTACTCTGGAGACAGTGGAAGTCTATTATGTTCCTTCAGCACTACGATGGCCACTCCAGAGATGGCACCTGTGTTTTTAGTGAGCCACACCAGACCCTCTACAGTGATTCTGGCAGAGACGATTCTGCATCAGGAAATTAAGATACAAAGTGCCTGGCACAACAGTTGTTAGTTTGATTTCAGGACTTTTAACTGAATTATAGAAGATTGCAGATTTTTTTTAGAACTGGAATTTGCAAAAGGCAATGAATTTCTTCCATCAATGTTTTATACAGCCAAGCAGCTACCTTCAGAGCATCTTCTGTGGAACAGCTATTTCTATAGGCATTTATTTGCTACCATGGCCTAACAGGCTGTTTAACACAGCAAGATTGCATTTTCAGTTCAGAAGGATGAAAATGTTAAAGACTTGAACTGCATATTGTAAAGTCTTATGTCTGTTCCCAAAAGGGGAAAAAACTTTCATGAGTAAGTTACAGCAAGTATCTACTAGCACATTTAATTTATTACTAGTTCATCAGGATTCATTTTAGTGTTTCTTTTCAGGATTTGTTTTGAGCAGTGCTTTAAGTACAGGAAGGAGACTAGTTAACTTATAAAGCATTTGCATCTGTTCTGACTGTTCTACCTGTTTCCCTTTAGAGAAACTCCTAAAATTAAGGTTCTATTTAATCAGAATTGCATTTATTTAATAAAAAGAATGATTGAAATCTTGCTTTACTGATGACTCAGCTGATCTATATCCTCTTGCTTGTGGCCATGTATTGTTTTCACACGTTGCACCAGCATTAGCCAAATGTGTGTGCTCTGAAGTTCTCTTTTTTATCTCTTTTGCCTATACACCGTACTCCAACGTTTCCTGGAAAAGCCCAGGGTATTTGAGTATCCTTAACTGATCTCAGTGTTCATTCAGAATAGAGGAAGAAGGAAAAATCTGCCATCTTAAGTCTTTTTTTTAAGCTACCCTATAGGAGATTAACTTTGACCTAGTTAACCATGTTCTAGTTAAGCATATCTGGTTAAGTGTGATCTGATTAGGCATTTCAAAGTACAGCAACATCAGTCCCAGTTTGTATCATTGTCAGCTACTCCTTACTATCTGTGACCACCATTGCTCTGCATGTGCATCCACAACATGGCACTTTAATGCTCTCACAAGGGGTAGTAACCTACTTTACAGACACAAACACAGATTTTTGCAGCCTTTAGTGGTGCATCATGTTGGGTAGAGGCAAAAATATGAGGAGGCTTAAAGAAGGCTTCTCAAAGCACCATTATAAGGTGCTTTTGTAATGTTACTCAGGGCATTATGAGGACCTTTTCATCATGGAAAGTGTGTTTATGGGCTCAGAGAGAAAGACCTGTGGAGTTCCAAAGATCCTCCAGGAGATCATGACTGTGTATACTCTGATCTGTACAAAGCAAATGAAACAAAAGAGTGGGGCGTGCAGAGACAGGGTTGATGTTCTCATATGTCAGCTCTGCATCCCATGATTTCTCTGGCTAAGATCCCTACTCCTCCATGTTTAGGGTGACAGGCAAACGACAAACAGAATAAACTCTCCATTGCCAGCCGAAGCAGTCCCAGTTCCCTCACACATTTTGCTGCCCACAAGGGTACCTGTGGCTCAGTTCTGCTGCTATGAAATTGGTCCTGCTATGAACAAGAATGGGAAATCCAGCCAGAAAAATGATCTTTTTCTTCAAGTTAAGCCATATGGAATCTGCAAGTTTGTTCACAATTAAAAACAAACAAGCAACCCACCTGGACCCCCAAAACAAACAAACAAATCCCACAACCAAACCTTCCCCCCCCCCAACAAAATCTAAACAAAATAGTAACAATAACAAAAAAAAAACCCAAAAAACAAAAAACCAAAACCAAAACAGTAGAGAAACACAATTAAATTTTGTTCCATAACAGTAGGAAATAAACAGTGGAAGATGGTTATGTAAAGCCGAGCACATGTGGATCTTTGTACAGAACACTAATACTGCTACATTATTTTATTTCTTCAATTTGTGGGTTTGATTTATCTGAAGTTGGCAAAGCCCTTTTACCAGTCATATAAGAATTTACTCAAATGGACAAATGAGTCCATTTTAGTCTGTAGAATCTCCTTTGTCCTTCAGGACAGACATTCTTGCCACCTACTGCCCTTTCCTATCTCCCTCTGATGTTCAGTCGAGTGTGTTCGTCCTGAAGACTTCTAACCTCCCGCAGTGCCCATGATACCTCACTTAACCACGCAGCTGACTGAGATATTCTGTTACACTGGGATGATTAGTATCAAGGTCAT